AGCAACCAAAAATATGTACTTAAATAACATTCTTACTCAGTAAAAGTGAAATATGGCCTTTAAAGAAGTTACTCAAGTAAGAGTAGAACATCATTTAATCAAAAGGCTACTCAAGCACAGAGCAACTGATTTAGATACCAACCGTGATCATAACAACAGATTCAATAGTTTTTGATTCATAAAACATACAAAATCAATAGTTACAGTATGTAGAATAGGTTCAATTATATTATACTGTTACTGTATTTTCAGTCAACATCCAAATGATACAACAGACTCAGCAGCTGGAAAATAACCTTTAACCTATAACTTTGATTAAGAAACAGTTTCTCTCGATGGTGCGTTTTCCTCTAAAACAAGCTTGTTTTCATGAAATGAAGTTACTCACACTGGATGGACTAGCCAGGCATTTTACTCAAGAAAGTATAAAAAGTATAATACTGTAAAACTACTCCAAAAGTATTTTTTTTTTCTTTTTCATAAAGGCATTCAGGTAAGCCTAACTAGTTACTACCCGCCTCTGCTTTTAGCCTTCAAGTTCAGTTCCGATTTAACCTAAGAAAACCTATTATTCCCAGTGATCAATCCCAACATGGCCATTGCTACACCTTTCCAAATTTATCCTGTGGTACTAGAGACTTTTAAAGTACTCTGTGGGGAGCACAAGAGGCAATGGAACCAAGTTTGGGGATCAAACCTGGGATGTGAGAACAAATGTGCGAACAGGATCTCACAGCACTCATAGGTGTAACAGTAACAATCAAAGACACAATCAAAACCCTTTCTTTTCTAAGATCATTTATTAGCCCCTTGTTATGTCCCTTCTTAATCCATTTATTGCACTCATTATTCTGAGTCCTTTTCTTTTAATTGCCTTCTCCAACAGTTATGGCTCCGAGACCAAAAGAGGAGACTGATTCGTCCTCAGCCATGAGTACGTTCTTTTCTTTTACATTTGGATATTTCTGAGCTTCTTCAAGCTGTCATTAGAACCTGTTTTTTGCAAACTTTCTGCTTGTCTTTCATTAGGTGACAAATCTAATCGTAAAGAGAAAGATATGCCACCACCTTACTCCAGTGTGGAGATGGAGAAGGAGAAGTCTACTGAAGACGATCCCTGGGATCTACCAGAACTGAAAGACACAGGGATCAAGTGGTCAGGTGAGGCAGCTTGCCATTCTTATCCCACTCCTGCACAGATTCCTTGTTCTAAAAGCTGACTCTGACTCAGTGTTTTGTGTTTTTCCTGTCGTACAGACCTGGATACACGAGGGAAGATAATGAGAGTGCTGACTGCAATTGTGAAGCTTATTCTGCTACTTGGATTACTCTACCTGTTTATTTGCTCACTGGATGTTCTCAGCTCTGCTTTTCAGCTGGTTGGAGGTGAATTAGTGCTCTTGGTCATTGTGGATAATTTCTCAATATCTATAAATTTGACATCTATACTAGACAACAGAATACTTTTGAGGTATTTAGCCCATGCAGCATTTTTGACCCGTGGGTCTGTGTATGCAGGCAAAGCTGCTGGTGACATCTTCCAGGACAGTGCTGTGTTATCAAACCCTGTGGCTGGGCTTGTGATCGGGGTCTTAGTCACAGTGCTGGTGCAAAGCTCCAGCACCTCCTCTTCTATTGTGGTCAGCATGGTATCTTCTGGATGTAAGTAAGGCTACGTTCACACTGCAGCCTGAAGTGACCCAATTCCGATTTTTTTGCCCATATGTGACCTGTATCTGATCTTTTTATGACAGTCTGAACGACACAGATCGGATTTTTTCAAATGCGACCCAGGCCACTTGGATATGTGGTCCTGAATCCGATACGTATCTGATCTTTTCAAATGCGACCTGTGTCTGTACGGCCAGGTCGCATTCATCCGACCTACACGTCATTGATACTTGACAAATGTTACTAAACGTTACTAATCTGCGTCCTACTAAGCGGAGGCGGGAAAAACTAACAACCATGGCGGAAGATAACACAGAGAGCAGTCAATGGAGAGAAAGTGAGGTTGCTGACTTAATTCATATTTGGAAAGATAGCTCGATTCAGACCAAACTCGAAGGGTCTTACCGGAACCGGGGGAGGGTCTTTTTTTTTGATCTTCTTAAAAAGATTTCGTTCGTAATGTGCCCGCTCCTGTTGGAGAATAACTTAAAGAACGCAATATACGCTGCGGTATTACGAGTCATGTTTACTTCCGCAAACACTGAGGACGCTTGCTACGTGTGACGTCATCGCGTCCTCGAGTGCGCATGCGGGACACTTTGGTTGAACGCTTTCAGTTCACACAGTAGATCACATACAAGTCACATATACTTGGAAGTGTGAACGGACACGCCAAAAAATCCGATTTCACAAAAAAATCGGAATTGAGCATTAAGGCCTGCAGTGTGAACGTAGCCTAAGACTCTTTTCCAACAAGTGCATTCATAGTATGATTTTTGTTGGCTTAAAATATTATGGTTTTAGCTCTATGTATAGTGTTACTGGGTTGCTTGTATCTTGACTACAGTACTTTTTAAATGCCATATATTTAAAATAATGCCCATTACTAGCTTTTAGTTTATTAGCTTTTTGTTTTTGGTCTCTAAGCAGCCAAGCATTATTTCTGTAGGCTCACTAGCGGTATGCAGCAACAGAAAGGAGAGGGTCAGAACTCTGCTGCAACCAAAAATATGCCATGTCCATGGCTCAAAATGCTGATAATTCGCATTTATCATAGTGCTCCTCAATACATTATTTTTGTGAGTTCCCTTCAGCTGGTGATTAGGCAAAGCAAACAGTAAGCATCTGCAAAACATCACAAATAAAAATTACTTAATGATATCATTGTGGCTGCTTTTGTTCAGTGTTGACCGTCCAATACGCAATACCAATCATCATGGGTGCCAACATTGGAACATCAGTCACCAACACCATAGTAGCTGTGATGCAAGCCGGAGATAGAAATGAGTTCCGCAGGTAAACTTGAGCAAGAGCTGATAAAAGGCACAGAACAATGTTAACAAAAAAATTACATTACTTTACCTGTGTTTTAGAGCTTTCGCTGGTGCAACTGTCCACGACTTCTTCAACTGGTTGTCTGTGCTGATTCTTCTGCCTTTGGAGGCAGCATCCGGTGCACTCTTCAAACTCACCAATATTACAATCAATTCCTTTGATATCAAGTCTGGGGAGGATGCCCCTGAACTGCTCAAGGTCATCACAGAACCCCTCACCAGCTCTATCATCAAGGTAACACTCAGTCAAAATGAAAGCTTTCAAATGTATTGTTGAATATTCTGGCAAACTAACTTAAGTATTGTTTCTCAGCTGGACAAGTCAGTCATCACTGGAATTGCAACCAATGACCCCGAAGCTAAGAACAAAAGTTTGGTTAAAAGATGGTGCAAGACAAACACAACAACGGTAAGAGATCAGCAAGAGTTGCATCACATGAGGAAGACTTGTTCAACAGCACACAACAGTTGATAAAGTCTGGGTTACTGATTAGTCTTGGTCTAAATTCCTGATATCTCCCATTTCACTTTACAACCGCTGTGATTCCATTCTATGAAAAGAGTAAACATTGTGTGCACAAACAGAAAGATTATTGTCTTCCACAGTTTTAGTTACTCTATTCCCTCTTGTATTGGTTATGTCTGTCAGACTTACTGGAATACCACAGTGGAGAGTTGCCCTGAAGATAATTTCTGTTGGGAGGATGGAAACCAGACCTGGACTGAGATGGTGTCTACAGTGACTCAAAACATTGCGAAATGTAATGCCTCCTTCATTTTTTTTCTGGGAACAGGGGCACAGCTACAAAGCAATAAGGATTTACTGATCCATTAAAGTTCAGCGAAATGTGAGCCAGCTATTTGGCCAGAACAACCCCCTCTAATGTCTAGACAATACTGTCCTTTGAGACTCTGCCGTAGCTCAGTTTGGCTTTACCTTCTACCGTAGTCTACTCAATAAGCCTTTTCAGCCTTTCTATAGGATAAGAATACTGCTTACTGTTTAATGGATCACTTAAAGTCCTCTGCAATTTTTTTATTTTACTTTGGTACCCTGCTTTTTTTGCACAAAATACATGTCCAGCTGTTTCTAAAGCCCAAACCTATAAGAGAGTTTATACAAAGAAATAGACACGTGTGAAGTTGTTTCAGTGATAATTAATTGCATGTGTTGACGATTTTTGCAGGCAAACACATTTTTGTGAACGTTGACTTGCCAGACTACGCCATCGGCCTCATTCTCCTGGTTCTGTCTCTGCTTGTCCTCTGCACCTGTCTAATCCTCATTGTCAAGCTGCTCAACTCTATGCTCAAAGGACAGGTTGCTTTGGTCATCAAGAAAGTGCTTAATACAGGTACATGCATTAAATACCATACAACAGACAACCATATTCATATGTTTTGTGGAGCCTGTTCGATAGTCAGCACACCTTTTTCAGTGTGGTGGTGCTTGATGAGCAGTACAGGTACAGACCTCCTCTGGCTTCTGTTTTGACTTCGAGTCTAACAGTACTGAAGTTCAGTGCAGAAAGCTTAGGCACAAACACTGCTTTGATTAAATGCGTTTTTTTGTGTTAATCACCACGTAAAAATTGTTGAGTTTGTTACTAAGATCTAGTTTTGTTGTTTTTTTGTCACAGACTTTCCCTTCCCCTTCAGTTGGGTCACTGGCTACATTGCAATTCTTGTGGGAGCCGGGATGACTTTCATTGTTCAGAGTAGCTCTGTATTCACATCAGCTATAACGCCACTTGTTGGTAAGGCATTCTTAAAACTTTGAGTCAATCTTTGGCTTCTGTTTAATTTAACATCCAAACTTATATTCTATCAACCTCAATTTCCAGGTATTGGTGTTATTTCCCTTGAAAGAGCTTACCCCCTGACGCTAGGATCAAACATCGGCACAACAACAACTGCTATACTGGCAGCTATGGCAAGCCCTGGAGAAACCTTAGCAGACTCCTTGCAGGTATGTAAGCAATGTAGCTGTCATAATATCGAAAGTGTATTTTCACTGACAAGGGAAATAACATGATAATTTTTGCAAACAAAAATGGGAACACGATCAACTTTCAGGTAAACATAGATGCCATAATTTTACTTTATACACTGTAGCACAACTCAGTTGCTTCAGAGTTTTCAAGGGTTTCATATAAATGGTATCCAAATGATCATAGTCCTCAAATAGAATATCAGCTTAACTTGGATTCCCTTTCCGTTACAGTCATATAAGTTATAATGGAAACAGCTAGTTCAATCTTAACTACTGGAACTTACCTTTTTGTTTTAAATCTACCAAATTTTTCAGACATAAAGGTATGTGTTCACATATATTTTGAAACATGGAGTTTATTACTGCTAGCGTTACACTACTGAGCATTTTTGTCACCGGGTCCAAATAAGTGTAATTAAAAGGAGGCATTTGCAGAACTTGTTAAAGCCTTAAAATTTAATTAATGCCTAAAATTCTGCATTTTTAATATCAGTCTTGACATAAACAAGGATTGAATAAATTCTTGTTATCCTTCCATAGTCTTAACTAAAACCTTTTAGAATTTGCAGAGTGATTAGCTAAAGCTCTGGGATGATGCTAGGATGTTTACTCTCCGTTTTGAATGACTAGTTTAAAATTCAGCACGTTTTAGTGTTGCTTTAGGTGATAGTTTAGGGACAAATTTTACCTTTATCTTATTGTACCTCTGGTTTTATTAATTAGGTTTGTTTTGCACAACAAAGAATGTATGAACCAGTGTTGCAGCTATGTGTTTCACACACACATACGCAGAATTCTGCAGCACCCAAAGGTCTTTTTTTTATTGTTAATGTTATTATAAAAGGTAAAAAGCATTTAGATTCTTTGGAATATAGTTTTGCAGGCCAAACTCTTAAGAAACGTGTTATGACTGCTGTACGCATGAGATCACACAGTACAACATCTGGTATGATGACATTAGCTCAGTCATGATGACATTAGCTCAGTCAGTCGTGTATAACAGTCATGGACATACACATCAGTTAAAAAGCAAAATCTTTGTCATTTTCAAAACATGTATGTAATTTGTTTTTTCTCTTGTTTAGATTGCACTTTGTCACTTCTTCTTCAACATCATGGGTATCATCCTGTGGTATCCAATCCCCTTTATGCGAATACCCATCAGATTGGCCAGAGGGCTGGGGAATGTGACAGCCAACTACCGCTGGTTTGCAGCTCTCTACCTAATCTTGTGCTTCCTGATACTGCCTCTGTCCGTGTTTGGTCTATCAATAGCTGGTTGGAAGGTCTTGGTTGGTGTCGCTGTTCCTATCGCTGGTATTTTTGTCATCGTAGTCATCATCAACCTGGTGCAGTCACGAAAACCTCGCTTCCTCCCCAAATTCCTCCGCAATTGGGACTTTTTGCCACTGCCCCTTCACTCCATGGAACCATGGGACAAAATTATCTCGTCTTCCATGCTTTTCTGTGGTAGACACTGCTGCTGTTGCTGCAAATGTAGCAATTGCTGCAGCAAAGATGAAGAAGCTGAAAAGATCTCAAGGACCAGCAGCAGGAGCCTGGAGATGTATGATAACCCTGCCATGTCTTATGATGAGGATAAAGAGAATAAAGACACAAAGTTTTAATGGATGGATGGATGGATGGATGGATGGATGGATGGATGGATGGATGGATGGATGGATGGATGGATGGATGGATGGATGGATGGAATTTTTAAGCAGGTGCAATATAAATGCAACACCATTTTTTTTGACACGCTTGTAATTACTCACTCCTCAGGTTGTGGTGTTGATTATCTGATGATAAATTGTAAAATACACTACCTGTCACGACGGAGAGGGTTATGTCTGCCACATGACAATTGTCCTATGTGGCCTGTGATGTTTATTGAATGATGCTTTAAATTTAATGTACGTACTTTCTCCTAAAAGTTCCTATATGGGTGTGTTTTAATACATTTTTTTAAATTTATAATTAAATATGAAAGGTTTTATTCTGATCTGAACAGTTCAACTTTCAGTGTTTAATGTAGCATTGAAATGTTATATTTGCATATGTTATCCCTCAGTATTTAAGATAATGTTGAATTTGTAAAATAAATTGTTATTTTTAAAATGGTGTTATTCCTTTTTCTTTTTTATATAGTTTTGTAAAGAATTGTTCACAGTGCATCCTTCTCTCTTATGACATTTTTAACTAATTCAGTGAAAATCTAAAATTTATAAATAAAAAAAATTGGCTCTCAAATCTCCATCTTGGCCTTTTCAGTGTAGAGAAGCCATAAATAGACACTGGAGTTATTCAGGTTTAGATATAAATAACACTAATTAAATTCTTGAAGTTGTTCTTATTTCTCTAAGTTCGGGTTTTCTTTAAAGGTTACTAAGTGTCATATCTGTAAGACAGAGCTCTGCATTACATTACATTTTTGGATTTAAAAGCCTAATGGCAGAGGGAGTTGGAGCAAGGAAAAGTACTTATGTGCCCTAAAAACAACTCTAATCTTAAAAATGTCAAAGCTATAGAGTAAATATTTAAAATAGGTCTGTGGCTAGAAGAAATGAAGATAAGTTGGTGCATAGGGTCCATAACGACATTCTCTGGGACACAAACGGAACAAGTTAAGTGCATTGTACAAGAGCAACTATTTCAAAAGTAATATCGCAGGGAAGAGTATAAATGAAGTAGAGAAGCTAAAGTAAATTCTACTTTTGAGATTTTTTACTCTTCCTTATTACTAAAGGCTGATTTATACGGGGACGACACAGAGACGTCCCCGCCCACTCCACAGACACTCTGCTGCACCTCTCCAAAATTGTAGGTGACGGCAGACAGAAGGCTTCTTATTGGTCAAATGCATATCTCCTTTTTGGTACCTTACTGGCTTGTTTGTTTGTTTGTTGTTTGTTTGTATGACAACGATTACAGAAAATGACTCGTGAAGTTGGACCAGCTTGAAGAGTGAATGCTGGGACCCTCTTTCCACCTGGATCACCGCTCTTTTTCGCCCCCATGTTCCTCCATTGTTGGACAAACTTGCCCACATTTCCTCACTGCCTCGGCCGTATCTAGACCCACAGCTAGTTTGTGATTTTCCCCTCTTGCGTTGTGGCGTGGAATAAACATAGCGCAGACCGTGCTTCAATATTGAGTATAAATCTAAAATGTCTGCTTCATACCTGCGACATGCTCACTGTGACACACTGCAGCGGGCAGTGTTGTGCCTGAACGCGTTCATTGAACGAAAGTTCATGAACTCGTTC